TGGCACTGCAGGGAGGGACAGGCACTGTCAGCGTTCCAGGGGCTGGGAATTCCTGCTCTCCCCAGGGGCTGGAGGAGCCCAGAGCAGCCCATGGAGGAGCTCAGAGCAGCCCATGGATCTCTCTGGGCTGGAGGAATCCGTGGATCTCTCTGGGCTGAAGGAGCCCAGAGCAGCCCATGGATTTCTCTGGGCTGGAGGAGCCCGTGGATCTCTCTGGGCTGGAAGAGCTCAGAGCCGCCCATGGATCTCTCTTGGCTGGAGGAGCCTATGTATCTCTCTGGGCTGAAGGAGCCCAGAGCAGCCCATGGGGGAGCCCAGAGCAGCCCATGGGTCTCTCTGGGCTGGAGGAACCTGTGGATCTCTCTGGGCTGGAGGAGCCCAGAGCAGCCCATGGAGGAGCTCAGAGCAGCCCATGGAGGAGCTCAGAGCAGCCCATGGAGAAGCTCAGAGCAGCCCATGGGTCTCTCTGGGCTGGAGGAACCCGTGGATCTCTCTGGGCTGGAGAATCCCAGAGCAGTCCATGGATCTCTGTGCCTGGCTCACCCTCCCCTCTGGTGTCTGCTTCTCCTTGGGCTTGTGGACGAGCAGGGGCTGGTCCAGTTCCCTGATGGTGATCCCGTGGGTCTTGCTGGAAAAACAGCATGGTCACACAAGCCTGGAATTCCACTTTGGAACGGAAACCCAAACCCCCACCGTGGGCAGCAAAACCTCCCTGCTCCCACTGCCCCACCTCAGAGCAGCCCCTGCCCGTTCCCAGGGATGATCCAGCAGCTCTCTCACCTGTAGTACTCCACAAAGCTGATCTCCTGCCCGCTGGCCAGCGTGAAGGTGTCCTTGGGGGTCTTGTCCCAGTCGATGTCGTCCACGCGGTAGGTGCGGTTGTTGTAGCGAGTCATGACCACGCTCCCCACCAGCTGCTTGGTGCACTCGTCCTGGAACGTCCTCTGGTTCTGCGAGTGGATGGTTTGCCTGGGAAAAGAGGAGAGGCACGGAATGCTCCCCCCCTGTGCTATCCCAAAACTCAAACAGCAGCTCTGTGCCCAGAGCTCGGCGGGTTTTGTCGCTCTCTCACATCACGCTCAGCACGGACTCGCTGCGGATGATCTTGTGGATGCCGTCCACCATGAGGAAGAGCCCCCCGTCCTTCCTCCGGATGCTGACGGCGTATCCTGGCCAGATGTGGAGGCTGTGCCCACAGGGAAAGAGGCCTGGCTTAGCCCAGGGCAGCCAAGGAACCCCCCAAACTCAGGGATTCATTTCCCAGCTCCCAACTTCTCAGCACAGCCAAAGTCAGGCTGACCTGGGAACACGTCCCGGTTTCCAGGGAAACAGGGATGACTCTGTGCCAGCACCCACCTGTATTTCTGTAGGGTGGTGGCCTGGGCAGGCTCAAAGAAATGTCTCCCAACCAAACTCATGTTTAAGATTTTCATCACCCTAAGGAAGGAAAAGCAGAAAAAGCAGGGCTGGATGAGGATTGACAGGAAGGAGGAGGAAGGGGCTCTCCTCCCTGAGCTCAGGGAGGGTCTCTCTGGTCTCTCACCTGCGGAACACCACGTTGTAAAAGGGGGTGCAGAGATCCGAGCTGGGCTCCAGGATTTTGGTCATCTGGATGTTGATGATGATCTCCTCCCCGTCGCTGCTGTTCTGAGCCTTCAGGCTGACCTTTGGCAGGGCCAGAGAGGGTTCTCCCACCCAAAACAGGGGCACGCCCGTACCCCCAAACCGGGGGAGACCCCCTTACCCCTTACCTTGGGGATCTGGATGGGCAGGAAGAGGATGGAGCCATCGAAGGCCATCACGTCGCCGGTCACGGCGTGCTGCTCCTTCAGTATGGCAAAGCGGGCAGCCTTGCACTCCACCTCGGGGCTGGGGGCACACAGGGCCTTTTCTCCCTCCTCTGCCCACCCAGACCTCGCTCAGCCCCCCAAAAATCCCCCCTGAAAGCAAAAACCCAGAGCCCTTCATTGTCCCGGGGCCGCTCCACCTCACGGCAGCGTGGACAGCGGGAGGGACACAGAGGGCTCTGCATGGGGACACCGCAGGCTGANCTGCTCCTCACCTGGCTTCCCAAAGAATTCTGGATGGTCTAGACTCCCATCCCGCCTCCTGAGTAATCCCCAAGGATGTCCCTGCTCCTCACCTGTCTCCTCAAGGAGCTCTGGGTGATCTGGGTTCCCATCCCAGCTTCCCAAAGATCCCCAGGGATGTTCCTGCTCCTTGTGGCTTCCCAAAGAGCTCTGGATTGCCCTGACATGGGTTCCCATCCCACCTTCCCAAAGATCTCCCTGCTCCTCACCTGGCTCCCCAAGGACCTCTAGATGATCTAAGCTCCCATCCCACCTTCCCAAAGATCTCCTTTCTCCTCATCTGGCTTCCTAAAGAGCTCTGAATGGTCTGGGCTCCCATCTCACCCTCCCAAAGGTCCCCCAAAGATCTCCCTGCTCCTCATTTGGCTTCCCAAACAGCTCTGGATGCTCTAGACTCCCATCCCACCTTCCCAAAAATCCCCCAGGGGATCCTGTGGCTGCTCCTTGTGGCCTTTCAAGGAGCTCTGGATGCTCTAGGCTCCCATCCCACCCTCCCAAAGATCTCCTTTGTCCTCATTTGGCTTCCCAAGGAGCTCTGGATGGTCTGGGCTCCCATCCCACCTTCCCAAAGATCTCCAGGGCTGTCCCTGCTCCTCACCTGGCTTCCCAAAGAATTCTGGATGGTCTAGGCTCCCATCCCACCTTCTCAGTAATCCCCAAGGATGTCCCTGCTCCTCACCTGTCTCCTCAAGGATCTCTGGATGCTCTAGGTTCCCATCCCACCTTCCCAAAGATCCCCAGGGATGTTCCTGCTCCTTGTGGCTTCCCAAAGAGCTCTGGATTGCCCTGACATGGGTTCCCATCCTACCCTCCCAAAGATCTCCTGCTCCTCACCTGACTTCCCAAGGACCTCTAGATGATCTAAGCTCCCATCCCACCTTCCCAAAGATCTCCTTTTTCCTCATTTGGCTTCCTAAAGAGCTCTGAATGGTCTGGGCTCCCATCCCACCTTCACAAATATCCCCCAGAGGATCCTGTGGCTGCTCCTTGTGGCTTTCTAAGGAGCTCTGGATGCTCTGGGCTCCCATCCCACCTTCTCAGTAATCCCCAGGGCTGTCCCTGCTCCTCACCTGGCTTCCCAAAGAGCTCTGGATGGTCAAAGCTCCCATCTCACTTTCCCGCTGATCCCCCAGGGCTGGCCCTGCTCCTTGTGGCTTCCCAAGGAGGTCTGGATGCTGTAGACTCCCATCCCACCTTCCCAAAGATCTCCCTGCTCCTCACCTGGCTCCCCAAAGAGCTCTAGAGGGTCTAGACTCCCATCCCACCTTCCCAAAAATCCCCCAGGGGATCCTGTGGCTGCTCCTTGTGGCTTTCCAAGGAGCTCTGGATGGTATGGGCTCCCATCCCACCCTCCCAAAGATCTCCTGCTCCTCACCTGGCTGCCCAGGGAGCTCTGGATGG